CAGTTGGGATGAAATGTATAAGAGAAGAATTTTTTTAAAACAATCAAACCACAAAAAAAAAAAGAAAAGAAAAACTCTACCACAATGACATTTGCCTCTGAACAGCAAGCCTTTGGCTGGGCAGGAAGCAAGTTGTTGAGTCTTGGAAGGTTGTCAGTTACCAAGACAGTTATTTAGCTTATTTTGGCTCCTTGTACACTCAAAGGTGATCTGGGGGGAGCACAGTTAATTCCTTTCCTCCAGCAACATAAAGCCAATCTCAAGGCCATTATCGGGCAATTCACTGCTGGGAGACTCTCTTCCTAATATACATAAAATTGCCCCTAGTACTTATTCTATACCCCAAAGGCTACAGATGTTAAGTGTGGGAAACCATGCAGGAGTGAACCAGGCTGTTGATAAAACCTGCAGAAGTAGCTGAGTTTCCAGTAATCTGGAGTGTACCTGCCTATTCCAAGAGGCCAGACTACTCAGCAGGAGCTGGTCCTGGGTTTATAAATTAGGAGCCATGTCCTGCATTTCTTACAGACGACTGGGGCAGACAGGTGAGTAGAGGCATCTGGCAACACAGTTTATAAGTCCTGTGTGGTAACGTGGGAGCACACAGAGGTGTGTCAGTTTTCTGTCACTGCGACTAAACACCCGAGAAAATAACTCACACTTAGGTTTCAGTCCAGGCCTGTGGGAAAGCAGAGGAGCGCGATGGGCACAGCATAGGACAGCAAAGCTACTCACCACCAGGCATTGAAAAGCAGGAAGCAAAATCCATGCCTCATTGGCTTTCGTGACCCACTACCTCCAATTAGGACCCACCTTCAAAAGCTTCCACCACCTCCCAATTGCAAATTATGCTGCGACTCTGTCACCTGGATACTCTGAGGATGAGGTGAGAATCCTCTTGGTTTAATCATTTCCACTAAGTACCAATGAGTTTAGATGAAGACGTGAACAAAATAAAGAGCTTGTAAAGATCCAAACTGAGAAACAGAAGCAATTGGACCACACAGAATAATAGAATTTAAGAGTCCACAAAACAGTAGTATTTAAGTTCAGTCTGAACAAAGAGCAGAAATTGCCAAAGATGGGGCAACAGAGAGCAAAGAACTTTTCATTTTTCAAATGGAAACTTAAGAACATGTGACAAAAGGAACTATAAATCCCAGATGTAGAAATGTAAGATACAAGACCAGATTAACAAGAACTTTCCAGACCACTGAGTTTCAGCTTTAACATCTGAGCAATGAGGCTGCCTACAATCTCATGATGGTTACATGCCCTAGTTCTGATAAAGGAAGTGGCATCAACAATAAAGAGTATGGGATTCCCAGTCAGAAAAACATACGCCATGCTTCTACTCCACCCCCTTGTGAACCTAAGTGAGCCTTATTTCCCACAGAAATAGAAAGAATACAACACCATGGCTGCTACACTGTCCTTGGAAATAAAATCCATCAATTGGATGCTAAATAAACTATGCAATGGAGCAAAATAGAGCCACGAAGCTGATGTTGTAGAGCAGGCGTGGTTGAGAAACTGTTTGAGTAAAATAAAAATACAAAATAAAAAATATCACATTCTGTCATATTTTATTAATAGGAAACTGGAGTGAGGAAGGGCATTACGAGAACTCCACTTTCAGTGTAATTGTTCTATAATCCTAAAGCTATATACTAAAGCCAAAGCTGTAGTAAATATTTTTAAAGGCTGTATGGGATTTTTCTTTCAAATCTACCAAAAGTGAGCACATTTATCACCAACAAACCTGTACCACAAGAAATTTCAAAGACAGTTCAAAAGAAAGAAACTAATATGATACTGAAATACAAACGCACAAGCAAGAATAGATGCTACTAAAAAGCAAAGTCAGCCGGGTGTTGGTGGCACACGCCTTTAATCCCAGCACTCGGGAGGCAGAGGCAGGCGGACCTCTTGTGAGTTCGAGCCCAGCCTGGTCTCCAGAGTGAGTGCCAGGATAGGCTCCAAAGCTACACAGAGAAACCCTAGCTCAAAAAAAAAAAAAAAAAAAAAAGCAAAGTCATGCGCTAAATACATGATGCCAGGTTTTTAAAGACATTCTTAAAGACAATGTTAAAGCAATTTTTAAACAATGGGGACAGTTATAACATGCAGAGGTAAAGTACATGTTAACAGCACAAAAATTAAAGAGGAGGAATGAATAATATCCACTGTGGCAAGGTGCTATATATATACTACAAATGGAATACCATTTGGCCACAGAGTGTGATACTAAATATATATATACTGTAAGCCCCAAAAGAAATACTAAAATAACAGACTCATTGATAAGAACCCACCCAAAAAAAGATAAAATAGATTGAAATAATTTCTCAATGTAAAACAAAGCAGAAAAGGGGGAGAGAATAAGACAAATGTGAGCAACAAAACGGTGCAACCATAATCCTCCCAATAAATACATTAAATGTAAACAGTCTAAACATCCCAACTAAAAAGCAAAAGTGAATGGTGAATGGTGATCCACAGATGTAGTCCCATCATTTGGGAGCCTGAAGCATAAGTATTGCCAAGACCTTGAAGCTGTGTTGGCTAGATAGCAAGTGTCGTTGCAGTTCGGACTGTAGAATGAGATGGTATGCAGGAATGGAATTTGTGATTCACGTTACAACATAGATGGTCCTTGAGAACCTTACACTAACAGAAATAAGCCAGTCACAAAACATCCTATGATCCTATTGAGTGCAACTCATGGAATTCATAGACAGAAAACTGGTAAGTAGATGACAGAAGCTGAGGGAGAGGAAGGAATGGATCATTGTTTAACAGATCCAGAATTTCAGTCTTGGAAGACAAAAATCAAGTCCCAGAGACAGGCAGTAGAGTATCTGCACACAGTGAATGTGCTTAATTCCACTGAAACGTATGCTTTGATTGCCTGGGGCTGGGGAGATGGCTCTTGCCACCCAAGGTTGAGAGCCTAAATTTGAATCTCCAGAACCCATGCAAAGCCAGATGCAACAGCAGGTGTCTGTTATCTCAGCACTCCTACAGTCAGATGGGAGGTGGAGACAAGAGACTTCTCAGACGATCACAGGCCAGTTAGACTGGTGCGCACAGTGGAGAACAACGAAGGGACCCTGTCTCAAACAAAGAGCAAGGCCAGGACCAATACTGTGCTCTCACATCAGTTAGTGAAGAAATGCCTTGCTTAGCTAAGACTTGCCTCCTAAAAAGTCACCACAAAGCAACGAAATAAAAGGGCTACCATCTTTTATGTAGAAACTGCTCAGTCACTTTGGGGATATATGTGTCCAGCAGAGGGAACTGGACTAGTATCTCTCAAGCACTTGTGAGAAGCTCAGGGAGCCATGTTCCCTGTCCTTCAGCCTTACAGCAGTATTCAAAAGAGGCTCATCAATTCCTCCCATGCAACTGTCCTTCAGCCTGCGGCCAGGCTCCATGGTCCCCTCTTTCGGGAAGACCTGCCTTCCTTACTCTAAAGCAGCCATGAAGTAGCCACTCTCCTTGCTCCCCATGGAGAAAAGAAGAGCTACTGATGATTTGACTTTTGCCCTGATGCCCCCACCAACACCACCCCAGTGTCAGCTGCAAGGCTAGTTAAAACAGTCCCCAGTAGCCTAGGCCTTAGAAGCGATGGTTTCACTGTATGGGATGCAAAAGCTGGAGTTAATGGGGTCAAGATGACCAGGTGGTTTCTGCCTATACCTAGCTGGAGTCCAGCCTGTGGTTGTGACTAAGTGGGAGAAGGGGGACCTCCAACTTCCCTTTCTTTTCTTTTCAGCACTTTCACAAGCACAACCAGTCATGAATACTACATTATCCAATTATGATTATTACCTATGGCTGTAACATTATTTTTTTTCTTTTACTGAAAACAGATTTAAAAATCTGTTTGAAGCCAGGCGTTGGTGGCGCACGCCTTTAATCCCAGCACTCGGGAGGCAGAGGCAGGTGGATCTCTGTGAGTTCGAGGCCAGCCTGGTCTCCAGAGTGAGTGCCAGGATAGGCTCCAAAGCTACACAGAGAAACCCTGTCTTGAAAAAAACCAAAAAAAAAATCTGTTTGAAAATTTGTATACAATACATTCTGATTACATGATTACATCCCCTCCTCCTACTCCTCCCAAGTTTACTCCCCACCTCCCCTCTCACCCCAAACCACAACATTTCTGTCTCTCCTTGGGGAAACAAACAGACATCTAAGGAACAATAATAAAACAAAATAAAGTTTGGGAACCTAACACAGTAGGTAACATTCTTAATCTAAAACACCAAAATCTGAAGTACTCCAAGGTCCAAACTTAAATATTTGAGTGTTCATGTTTGGGCACATGTCTGATTTCAAGATTTTCCAATTACAAATATTCAGTCAGTAAAGTCTATGTAAAACTCCCAAGTCCAAGCCCAGGGTGCTAGTGCATGCTTTAATTCCAGCACTCAAGAGACAGAGGCAGTAGGGCAATGGTGGCACACACCTTTAGTCCCAGCACTCAAGAGGCAGAGGCAAGTGGATCTCTGTGAGTTCAAGGCCAGCCTGATCTACAGAGTGAGTTCTAGGACAGCCAGAGCTATAACACAGAGATACCCTGACTCAAAAATCCAAAGAGGGTGAAGGTGTCATGCAGACCTCTGAGCTTGAGGTCAGTCAGGGCTACGTAGTGAGACTCTGTCTCAAAATAAATAAATAACTCTCCCAAATTCAAAACTTTCTGATATTCATGAGCTAAATGAACTCCCTTCTTTGTAAACAAAACAAAAAGCTCTAGAGTACAACACATTCTATCTAGTCTAAGCATTTCATATAACTATTCTCTGTATTTTCCCACATACACTCAGATGTGAACTCCACAGGAGCGGCCACTCCTGTGCCCCTGGTGACCGGCACAGCAGATGGATGCTAGAGATGCTCAAATACATACCACAGCAATGGAAAGACGAAGCTGGCCTAAGCTGCCCTTTGACCTCAGACTACTGAGGCCCAAACCCCCAGATCCGAGCACTCACCTCCACCTGAGTGACATTGACGACCAACACTGCCACCATTAGCACTGCAAACAGACAGCAGAAGACTCGTAGTTTGAAGAAAGTGGTCCACATTGTCCGGCTGTGTCCTGATGACCCATGGCCGACACCATGCTACTTTCACCTTCAAAGCTCCATGTCGTCCTTTGTTCTGAGCTGAGGGTGGATGAGTGTTCAATTTAATTTGCTTCTATTCTGCCAGCAAGCTTAAGAGCTCTGTAGAGGAGGGACTGCAATGATTCAAGAGGCATGTTTTTCATCAATAAACAAGAAAAATGAAACTCTCACCAACTGCAGCAGAAAGTAAAAAGTCCATTTCCTTCCCTGGGCCTTCTCCAAGGTCCAGTCACAAAGACAAAACCTGGGAACAGTAATATCTTTTATTGTTTGGTTTTTTTTTTTTTTTTGGTTTTTTGTTTCTTGTTTTTTGGGGTTTTTTTGTTTTGTTTTGATTTTTAGTTTTTCAAGACAGAGTTTCTCTGTGTAGTTTTGGAGCCTGTCCTGAAACTAGCTCTTATAGACCAGGCTAGTCCTGAACTCACAGAGATCCACCTGCCTCTGCCTCCCAAATGCTGGGACTAAAGGCGGTGTGCCACCACTGCCCAGCGAGAACAGTAATATCTTACCTGCAGGTAATTGTTTCAGTTTCCTTTTCCAACTCCAGGCTTCTATGTAGAGATGCTAACAATTACCTTATTAACTATTTAGCTTATAATTTTAATAGAAAAATCTTCAAACTCAGAAATTGTGAAATAAAAGGGCACATTAAATTTCTAGAGTTCCAAGGAAAATCACCTCGCTTCCCTTATAGATTAAGTAATATAACAACCTCACTGTGTTCATGAGATGTAAAGAGTGTTAGGAAGGGACTCGTGTTTTTATAAAGAGCTCCAGAGAAGAGCCTAGGCCTGGCCCAGGATGATGTGGTAGACTTTGGGGAGCCCCTTTTGAGAGCCTTACTCTGCCTGGGGAGTGGAGGGGGATGGCTAGGGGCAGGTGGGATGTTGGAGGGGGTGAGAGGGAGAAGGGATTGACATGTGAAGCAAGCTTGTTCCTAATTCGAACTAATAAAAGAATAAAATTAAAAAAATAAATAAATAAATAGCTCCAGAACACTGTGCGAACCATCCTGCCCTCTGGAAAGCCAGAATACCACAATCTCCTCAGCAAGACACAAAGCAGCCTTTGGGTTTATAGCTGGTTCTTTTGTCCTTCAGCAAAGTGACAAGGTGTAGGAAGAAAGACACCTGCCCTGAAGATGTGGGGAAGACACTTGGTTTGAAGAGTTTGTAAGAGGTCCTGATTCCTTTATCCCAGATGTCTAGGGGCAAAGGAGTAGAGTTCCATAACAAATTCAAAATGGTCTTTCCAGTTGCTGGTTTTGTGGTGTTGTTTCTGATGCTGGGTTTGGGAAGGAGGTTTTGCAAATCAGTAATGATTTGAATTATTTTCTCATGCCAATAAACATAATTTTATAACATTTATGAAATTGCCATAACTTCTCTTTTTACAGAAGGGAACAGATAGATATCTGTTTTTTTATAAAGAAAAAAAAAACACATCTTATTTTTATAGAAAAATAGGAGGAAAGAATAATACAAGCTGGGCAGTGGTGTATACCTTTAGTCCCAGCACTTCGAAAGCAAAGACAGGCAGATCTCTATGAGTCTCAGGAAAGTGTGGTCTATAGAGTGAGTTCTGGAACAGCCATGGCAGTTACAAAGAGAAACCCTGTCTCAAAAAAAAAGAAAAAAAAAGCAAAAGAAGAGGAGGAGGAGGAGGAGGAGGAGGAGGAAGAAGAAGAAGAAGAAGAAGAAGAAGAAGAAGAAACAAAATTTTCCAGAAGAAAAAAAAAAACAAGAAATATTTGCTCTGATCTCTTTCCTTCTTAAAAAAAAAAAAGAAAGAAAAGAAAAGAAATGACAATTCAGTAGAAAACATAGTAATTTCTATAGAGAATCTAAGTTTTTTTTTCTTGTGTATCATGGGAATTCCTGATTCAAGAATGGGTTGATTTTTGTATTAGTGTAAGGACATTTTGCTACTTTCTATAAAAACAAAAATTAAAGCACACAAATTGATGCTTTCACAACTCCAGTCTCTGCTGCTTCTGAACAGTTGCCTGGCATGCTCCAGCTGAAGGGTTCAGCTCTGCACTAACACTGAGGGTGTTTCCAGTCTCAGTGCCAGAGCTGATAAAGGCTTGTTTACAGCACCCGCTGCTCCAGTACCCTGGGGCTAGACATCAAACACAGGACTGTAGACCTTAGGGAGAGAAAGTGTATACACTTAGAAACAAGTAAGAGATACTGTTTAGTGTAAGCCCAGCGGTGTTGCTGGGCTTGAACAGTTAAGCTCTTCGTCTATAACAAATGATTACTCCTTAAAAATGGGTCAGTGAGACGACTCAGCAGGTAAAGGTGATTGCTGGCAAGCCCGACAGCCTTCGTTTGATCCCCAGGACCCACAAAGTAGAAGGAGAGAACTGAACCCTAGAAGCTGTCCTTGAACTTCCACATGCGGGCCATGGTGCACACACACGCTCTCTCTCTCTCTCTCTCTCTCTCTCTCTCTCTCTCTCTCTCTCACACACACACACACACACACACACACACGGAAGAGGAGGAGGAAGGAAAGAATAAATGTAATAACAGGAACATGAAGTGCTATACAGGCCGTATGAATCGGGAATGATAAAGTCTGAGTGGCATATAGCAAAAGTAGCACACATATTGAATGAAAAATCCCCAAAAGAACGAATATAATTGCTATTTGATACAGGTAAACAGAGAGGTACCAGTATTTTGTTCTCAAGGACAGTTTCTTGGAGGGTAGGTACACATCAAAGATGGAAAGAGTTTGAAGTAGCTCACAACAGCTCAAATGCATCATCACTCCCTTCAGCTTTCTGCTGGACCTAGAAGCTCCTCTACTCTACCTGTCTGGACCATTCCCACTTCACAAGAACTATGCTAGCTGTCCCCCAACCTAGCTGCAGAAATGGGACAGGACTGAGCTAAAGGAACGCACCCTCCTTCTCAGAATCCTACCGCCCTTATTTTCAGCTGCTTACTCTTTGTATGTGTTTCTAATCGCTCCACACAGCTACCAGTCACGACTATACTTTAAAAGAAAGAGGAAGAGGAGGAGGAGGAGGGGAGGAGGAGGAAGAGGAGGAGGAGGAGGAGGGATGGGAGAGATGGCTCAGTGGTTAAGAACACTGACTGCTCTTCCAGATGGACCCGAGTTCAATACCCAGTACCCACTGGGCACATGGCAGCTAACAATTGTCTGCACCTCAAGATTTGTGGCACTGTCACACAGACATGCATGCAGGCAAAACACCAATGCATATAAGAATTATTAAGTTTTAAAAATTAAAAAATAAAGAAGCTACTTATCAGAATAAAAGCAACTTAATGATAATATTCCTTATTTTTTTCTTTTTTGACAAGTGTTTTTGTTGTTGTTATTTGAGTCACTGTCTTACTATGTAGCCCTTGGCTAGCCTGAAACTCACTATGCAGCCAGGTTTGCCTAGAACTCATAGAGATCCGGCTGCCTCTGCTTCCCAGGTGCTTGGGATTAAAGACATACACCACAGTGCCTGGCCGAATATTTTATGTTTTCAATTCTCCTACACTATTAGCTCTTTACATGATACACATTGATTCAATCCATAAAACAAATATTACAGAGGTCCATTCTGTAACACACTGCACTGAGGGCCAGAAATTCCCTTTTCAAATTTGGCATTCATATTACAGTGAGTTACTTCCTTTGTTGAAGAGGAGTGTGGGCCCAGGATATAAGTAACTGAGTGCTTGCCTAGAACGAATGACCCAGGATCAGGAGGGAGGAAGGGGAGAGAAGAAGACACAAGACGAAAAAGGCAATAAATCCACCATCCTAACCAACTCCACACAACACCCAAACCAACTTAACCATCTCATGCCCAACCTCAGTACCGTTCTCCCATACCAAGGCACTCAGAAACCATGAAATGTCTATAAATTCTGAGCAGGAAATAGCTATGAAAACAAAGAATAACTCTGTCACCAAGATCCCACATACTCTACTATAGAAAGTCTTCTCAAAGAGCTGGGCCTGAAGGGCATAGGTTCTCCTGATGATGCTCAGAGTGAAAGACCAAGGAGGCACAAGAGTCCAACTGCATCATGGCTGGGTACAGTCTGTGGCTTTGCACAAATGGGAGCCTCACAGACTAGTACATCAGTGTGATTCAGAGTCAAGAAGCAGCCGCAAAGCAGTGGTCAGGGCTGCAGACAGAGAGTAAAGGCACCCCAAAGATAACAGAACTACAGGGTTACAGAGCAATACAAGACACCCCTTGTGGCTGGAGTTACTCATGGACAGTAATGCCGGGAAAAGACTGGATGTCATTCTACAGCACATAGAGCCCTAACTAGACATTGCTTGAGAATCTGTAGAGATCTGTCTTTGAAAAGACATAATACTAAAATGCTCAAAGGATCACTACCATGAAGCTCCCCCCTCCTTTGTTTGTATGTTTTAATCTTTTCATCTGGAAATAATAATAATAGCAGAAGAAAAAACTGATTTCTAAAAATCAAAAACTGGAGTTTAGAATTATTGAGAAACAAGTCAGGTGTGGTGACACACTGTTGAAGTCCCAGCACTCAGGAGGCAGAAGCAGGCAGATCTCTGTAAGTGCAAGGCAAGCCTGGTCTACATAATGAGTTCCAGGACAGTCAGGGGTATGAAGAGAAACCCTGCCTTAAGAAAGAAAGAGAGAGAGAGAGAGAGAGAGAGAGAGAGAGAGAGAGAGAGAGAGAGAGAAACGAAAAACCAACCAACAAAAAGAACTTGAGATTCAAGAGAGCAAGATGTACAGAAAGAACTGGAGTTCCATTCAAGACCAGGACCACCGTGAACACAGATGAAGCAGGGCGCCTTTCCATAGCTTCCAGTTCTGTTTCATATACTCCCACATCAAAATGACCCAAAGTGATGTCTCCACTGGACCTTCTCAATCTGAGTATTCCAAGGCAGGACCCAGTGCCTTCATGGAGTCTGCGTGGCAAGTCACACAAAATTAAGTGCCATAAGGGAAAAAATAGGCCATGGAACATTAACAATCATTGTGAAAACTTTTTCCTTTTTTTGTTTTGTTTTGTTTTGTTGAGACAGGGTTTCTCTGTGTAGCTTTGGAACCTCTCCTGGCACTCTCTCTGTAGACCAGGCTGGCCTCCAACTCAAAGAGATCCAATGGCGTCTGCCTCCCAAATGCTGGGATTAAAGGCGTGCACCACCACTGCCCAGAGAGAAAACCAAAAAAAAAAAAAAAAAAAAAAAAAAAAAAAAAAAAAAAAAGACCCTGGGTCCATACAACAAATTAAACCAGAATCTACCAGAATGGGCTTGAAATTGTTCCTTAACAGTCCCTTGATAGCTATAGTATACAGTCAAGTAGAAGAGTCATACATAGAGTGGTCAGGGATATTACTTACATCAGTAAGGGCTGGTGGTACTAAAATGAATTCTGAATTGTGCCTTGCCACGTTCTCGATTCTGGGACACTACAGAAAACCATTCCCTCTTCAGTGACCTATCGATCCCATTGTTTCCTTACTCAGTAACAAGTTATAGCACTTTGTCAACCCAGAGGATATATAAGAATAACAGACATGGAAAGAATATGGTAAACCCAGTCAAAAGGGGGCAGAGCCCAGCACTGCAGAGTTAAAAGTATGGTGTGCCGTCCCCTTGAGAGGAATAGGGCGGTCACAAGGGTCCGGGCAGTCTGCCAGCTTCAAACACACACAATGTTCCAAATGACAAATAATGGCAGTGGGAGGAGGAGGGCACGACCACCAGAGCAGCGTGATTCTTTATCTATTGGAAATATGGCAAGTCTTCCTTCGAAGTAAATGATGAGAAGCGAAGGGAAAATTAACAATTTCATATTCATTTTGCAAAATCCTGCCTCTTAACCCCTTAGCACACCGCCCTTCTGGACTTGGGCCAAGCAGAAATGGACCACAAGCCAAGATCTCAACATCACACTGAGTCCTGCCACACACTGGTTTCTCCCTGAATGATTTACCCTGATGCCTCCAATACTGCAGCTCAGTAAGACCAGAGTAATCCAAAGTATAACAGGACAACCAGCCAAGAGACAGCTGGCTCCCAGAGCAGCGATGAGACTAGCGATAGGGGCTGAGAGCTGTGTCGCCACGCTCTCTGTGCTGGGTGTGGGAAGAGAAGGGAGTTACCGGGTGGGAGGGGGGTACAGGAGCTTGGCTGCGTTCGGTGCGGTGCGGGCCACCTCAAGTGCCCGCTCCCCTGTGCAGCGCCGCTGCAGCAAGCGGAGAAACTGAGGGTGGAGATGCTCAGCCTCACCCCGCCCCATTCTGCAGCGGCTCGGATCCTCCTGTCCCAGGCTGCCGCAGCCCAGGGCTGAAGCTCTGCCTGCGCCTTCGGTCGGAGCCTCTGCTCCGGGGCCCTCGCACGCACTCCGGACTCCCGGGGCCACAGTTCACCACACCCGGCTGGGGTCGCCAGGGCGCGGGGTCCTCGCGTGGAACACAGGGCTCTGCAGCCGAGAGGCGCGCGAGGCACGCTGCACCGGGCGCTCCCGGGACGAGCTCCGCCCCGCTCCGCGCACAGTGGCGGCTCGCACTCACCGGGTCTAAGTCTCAGCCGCCGCTCGCCCTCTCACAGGACGCGCGGATGCTCCGATCGGTGGCCTCTGCACCAGGCCGTTCTTTCCCGGCTTCCTGACCCCGCTACGGCGCCTCACCCCCGACCCCCGGCTACCATTGGTCCGACTTCGGGAGGGGCGGAGCAGGGATGTTGACGGACAGCCACGCAAGCTGGGTGCTGTGCCCAGAGGCGAGGACAAGGAGTTGGCACCGCCTGTGCTAACTGCTGCCACCAGGCTCTTGTACTCAGGTGACTGTGCGCCTCCGGCATTCTGGCCCGAGGGAGACCCAAATATTGGTGACCTTAGGGCTTATTGTCCTGCCGCTTCCCTCAGCAGGATTTTCTCGGCCTGCGGACTAACCACAACGCTGTCCCTGCAGTGATGGAGTTGCTGGTTCCTGCCTGACACCAGAGTAACAAGGCTTACCAAAGGCGAGCATGGAGATAGCAGGGCCTTGAAGCTCCTTGCTTTGAAGTTAGTCTCTTGGCAAAAGTGCCAGAATACTCCACCCAACCCCACCCTCAATTCTTGATTATCCTAATTTGGAGATTTTAACTGGAGAAATGTCAGAAGCAGTTTGGCGAATCGGAGGAGCTGAGAGGAGTCCCTAGAGGATAGAAGGGCCTTTATGGGACAAAAGACATCCCTGGATCTGCTGTGTTTCTCGAAAGTTCATAGAGCACAGTGTTGTTATTTTGTAAAAGTTTAAAAATTAGAAAAGAAACTGTGAGATGGAAACCGACGGGATGGAACACAAACTAGAGTGTACATTAACCATAGTTCATTACAGGTGGGGGAGGGGAAAGACAGAAAGTGAGAGCAAAGAGAGAGAGGGAGGCAAGAGAGAGTCAGTGGCGGGGGAGTGGGGTCTGTCTTTTAAAGGGGTCCTTTACACCTGCAAGCGGACTTAGTTCCCACGGAACCCTGAGCTGACCAGGGTACTGCCTGAGTGGATTCTGCCAGGTAACAGGGTAAAGCCTGAACCTTTCACTCAGAGGGGTCAGTCTTTTAATCTGAGAAAAATACTGGGTTGGAGGGGAAAACCTGCTGTCAGACTGCGTCCCCGGGTTGAATTAATATAAATTACAACTGGCGTTAATTATCTTTATATTGACCACGGTGCTATAAGAGCCTGAGGTCAGAGAGTACTAAAGCAAAACAACCGTCTTTAGGACATGATAGGACTACTGCACTAAGAAACTCAAGCACCTGCGGTTGCCCTCACATGAGCTGAACAAAGTCAAACCAACCAACCTTCTATCATAGCGGGAGAAAGGGTTCGTGTGTGCCCGCCAGTAACTGGAGAGTTGTTGATGGCTTCTGGGGGAAGAAGATACTGTTTCCTTGAAGGGTGTGGGCCCTGGTAGGTCAACCAGTCTCCAGTTGATGGTCCCACACCTGTGAGTATATGGACAGTACAAACTGGACTAAATGGGTTTGTTTATTTTTATTTTAAGAGACCATAAAGTTATTGAAAGGAGGTGTGGGTGGATCACGGGGGAGTTGAGGGTGAAAATTATCAAAGTACATTGCCTGAAGTTCTAGAGGATTAACAAATGTAAAGGTTCTGCCAGCACACAGGAAGCAGAAGTAGATGGATCCCTGAGTTCAAGGCCAGTCTGATCTATGTAGTGAGTTCCAGGACAGACAGGTCTACACAGACAAACCCTGGCTCCAAAAACAAAACAAAGTATAGATTCTGATGCTAGGAACTAAGAGAGTAATAGAACCCTTCTCTGGCATATACAGGGCTTTGAGCTTGGTGCCCATTGTCACCGCCAGCTGGCTGAACAGGTTTCCATTGCCTCTGTCATGCACTGGGCAGCAGTGAATGGCAGCAAGTGGCTTCCTCTGTTGTTAGTCTCTGTCCATGCCTTGATATCAGAAGCCTACTAGTGTTACAGTCCCTTAACCCTTGACAAGCAGCCTGTATTTACAGCTCTCAGCCTGGGGTCTGAGACCTTCTGGCCTGAGGATTTGCCAGCTCACTCGTTCTAGAGAGCAAGTCTAGCATGTTCTCTTCTTTGGTTCCTTACAGCCTTTTAACCGGCTTTCAGTTCTTGTTTCTCAACTCCCACTTGCCTTCTTCCTACCCTGGAGGCTCTTCCACTGTTCAGTGCTTCTTCAGCTGTCAGGTAAACCCCTGCCTGACCCTTTTCTACAACACAATAGCTGTTGCTGCCCTGACATTGGGTACCTGCCTCTGTTGGGACTGCCTTCTGAGACCAGGGCACCCACCACAGCTCAAGAGTATCGGGTCGGCTGGACAGAGTGGCACAAACCTTTAATCCCAGTACTTTGGAGGCAAGTGGATCTCTGTGAGTTGAAGGCCAGCCTGGTCAACATAGTGAGTCCCAGGACAGTCAGAACTACACAGTGAGACCCTGTCTCCAAAAAAAAAGAGAGAGAGAGAGAGAGAGAGTGAGCATGGGGTGCCAGACACGGCCTGTCATGATCACTTACCCATAGACTTGGACATCATATGCTCTGTGCAGAAATAATCAAGGATCACCAGCCAAGGGGTGAGTATCTGTTAGTGACTGTGAAAGGCATGCACCTTCAGGGGCAAAGACTTATATTAATACATCTTCAATGTATCCATTCCTTATTTTCAGCTAGAACTTTTTGGTGTGGTAATGGCGAGATGGCTCAATGGTTAAGAGCACCCAGGGTGGGTTTCCCGCACCTACGTGGTATCCCACAACTATTTGTAACTCCAGTTCCAAAAGATCCAATACCCTCCTCTGGCCTCTACGTGCACACACACATGGTGCACAGGCACACATGCAAACTAAACACCCATATACATACAATAAAAATAAATCTTTTTAAAAAAGCAAAACAGCCATCCAAAAATTATAAAACTTTATGGTGCAATCTGAGCATGCCCAGAGGCATTTGTCCGTCATTGAAACATGATCTAGTGCTAAGCACACCTAAAATAATGTGTCTATTATGGGATGACTAAGACCTAACAACCAACTTACCTAGATAGGTCCTCACTAATATTAAGAGCATGTGTAGGAAATACTTCCTAACACCAATCTGGGTCTGCCTGAGGGCCTTGACAGCAGCAAACAAACCATGGCCAGAGATGACATGGACCAAGGAAAAATGGCGATATCACATCAGCAGATGCCAATACAACAGATCCTGCCCCCAGGCAAGATGGGGGTATATTAGGCTTGCCCCTTCCTTAATAAACCAAGCTTGTTGCTTTGACATGCTCTAGGTGTCTGCATCGCTGAATCAGTGTCTACCTGCCCCCTCCAGCAAGGGAGACCCGTGGAACCCTGTAACATCTGATGCCCAACGTGGACCATTGACCAACATAGGTATGAGCCCACCTGTGTGGGGGTCCTTGTTGCCTCAGTAACTTTTTGGGAAGATTTTTTTTTTTACTTTGAGACTCCCTCCTCCTTGATCTCAGTGTGGGTTGTGCCCCCCAGATTGGGTGTTCATATAACTAGGGCCCTTGATGTTTATTGTCTTCAGTCCCAGAAGTAAGTACAGGGACCCCCCTCTCCTCTCTATCCATTTGTCCTGTCTGTCTCTCTGTCTGTCTGATAGGGAGACACATATTCCCTGTCACTTGCCTGTTGTTTGCTGAATTTTCACTATGGGTAATCTACCCTCTCATTATTAGGAGGCTCATATCGGAGGATTTCGGGCCAGAACTGCAGACCTAGAGAGGTTTTGGACAGAGGCCACAGTTGTGTTAGTGCCATGACTTTCCCCAGAAAACAAGTGGGAGCCTGATCTCTGGATACGGGTTTTATTTCTGTTCAGGAAAAGAGAGGTAGCCTCAGGAGTGACTCCTCAATTTTCCTTCACTCCTATCTTGTTGTCGATAATAACCATTTTAAAATCCTCCTCAGCAGAGGAGGTGATCAAGATCCACAATAAACATTGCCAGGAACAAAGCCTTTCTAGAGAGGCATGGAGAAGGGCACATGAGCCAGTTAAATATGGCTCTGAGGAGAAGTCAAAAGGACGAGTCCTGAGATGTTTACAAAAAAGGGTGATTGGTTGCCAAGATCAAACCAGACAGGGTCACTACATAAACGGCCTGGGTTAGGTAGGTAAAGCATAGGGCGCCCAGGCACATGATTGGCTGTCCTTTAAAACCATTGGCTGTTTTCCCACTCTGTGGTTTTTTGCTTTAAAAGATGCTTACTGTGGGGCAATAAGATTTCCTGCTTGACTAGACTCCCCACTGTGTCTGATCATCTGGGAGGCTGGGGAGGCTGGGGAACAGGCGGACGAGGGGCGCGCTTACCCTTCCTCGGACCCAGCTCAGCCTTCTGTGGTTGGGCTAAGACCCTGCACATGGCTTACTGAGATACAAAAGGCTATGCCTGACCCACCACCCTGGAAGCTCGCCCAGGATTGATGCTCTTTGAGGGCTGGAAGTCAAGGAGGGCCGACTTAAGACAGGCACAGTCCGTTATGTTGATCCCTCCTGAGATAGGGGCAACAAGGTTGGAGCAAGGCACCCTAGCTCCCACGGAGCATGTCCTGTAAAAATAATAAAAGGGGTGGGTGTGTGAGATGACTAAGCCCTAACAGCCAACCTACCTAGATAGATCCTCACTAATATTAAGAGTATGTGTAGGAAATACTTCCTGAACACCAACCTGGGTCTGCCTGAGGGCCTTGACAACAGCAGCCAATCCATGGCAAGAGATGCTGTGGACCGAGGAAAAACAGTCATGTCACATCAGCAGATGCCAACACAACAGATCTTCTCCCCAGCCCGGTGGGGGGGGGGAATATTACACCTGCCCCTTTCTTAATAAACTGAGCTTGTTGCTTTGACCTGCTTCTGGTGTCTGCATCATCAACTCCTAGGCTACTTGTCCCCTGCCCCAAGAGAGACCCATAGGACTCTGTAATAGTCTATTATTTCTTTAAATTATGACTTTAAGCTGATCATGTTTAGAAATTTACTCCTTAACTGAGGATGCTTCTAAGTGAACTCACCTTCATATGAATATGTATAGGTCCCTTGGATAAAATCCCCTTGCTTCCTTTGTGGAGAAAGAGCAAAGCTTTGGAAAGGATTCTCATATTCTCTTTATACGATATGTCAACGCTCTGGAGTTTCTGAACTAAAACTGTTCTGAACTTTATCTACACATTAACTGTGAGCACAATGAATCATAACTATGGCTACAGATCATTGAAATCACCAGATGTCACACTCAAATGTATAAAGCTTTTATTTAAAATTAGACAGACTCAATACAAATGAAGAGTACAATATGAAATAGTAAACCTTCATCAAACATACTCCAGCCATCTTAGGTTATACACTATAGTAACATTTTTTTAAAAAAATCAAGAAATAGTACAAAATCAAATCATATTAAACTCTTATTGCCAACATTAGTGATATTCTAAAACACAGGGCTACAGTGTAGTTAAATAGTACGGTGCTTGCCTATAATGCCAGCACCATACACAAATTATTACAAGATGTTCAAAGGAATTGAGTAGCCACTAAAATCAATAAAATAATTAAAATTCAGTGTGATTTCTATTCATTCACAAATGAAAAGCACCTCATCCTAAAAAGACAGTGATAAATTTCTTTCCAAGGCTATGAGGACGGCCTTGTTTACTTGATTTTTAATTTTAATATGGCACAATAGGCTTTATCACTAAAATTTAGAATTCAATGTTTCTATGCCTATAGTCCCAACTACTCTGGAGGCTGAGGCTGGGAGTTCAAGATTATTTGAGGCTGGGAGTTCAAGAGCAACCTAGGCAACATAGTAAGACCCACACACATACACCTCAAAAAAAATTGGAATTGTTTCTTACAAACTATTTCTGCTTAACTTCAAGAATAATGGTACTAACATGCCTTTAGTCCCAGCACTCAGGAGGCAGATGCAGGCTGCTCTCGGTGAGTTACAGGACAGCCAGAGCTTTATAGAGAGACCTTGTCTCAAAAAGAAAAAAAGCACTATGTATTTAAAGTTTAAAACATAACTACAATAAACTTTTAAAACAGATATGGCAAAATAGGAATATACGTTAAACAACCATGTAATCAAGACAGTTTTTTCTTTTTCTTTATGAATGAGAAACAATCCAGTGACTGTATTTCTCCTTCCTACTTCAGAAAAGAATATATTGTTATAAAATCCAATCTTAATACTTTACATGAAAAAATTACCAGGAGAGAGTGTAATATTTAAAGCCTGCATATTCCTGGAAGTATTTATGGAAAGTATAACTAGACTTGTCTTAAATAGACAACAGGAAAGTACATTATTATGGCGCTCATATATTTAAAATAAATAAAGGAAAAACATACACTCAAGAAGGGCGCTCATGTGGTTAAAGAATGAAGTTATTTACAAATATACAACTACGTGACCAAACAAACATTTTTTTAAAACATGCATATTATGGTGTCCTTTTATATTTAGACATATAAGAGTAAACTACTTGAATATTATCAGCTGCCATTATTAGAGTAAAATTCTGGTCTGTTGTTCTATAAGAGGCAAGATGAAACAAGAAACCCAAAATCAGTATTTCTTGAGAAAATTGTATCTACTTTGGCATCCTATAACACCGCTTGTCATCAAATAAATGCAGTCCCAGATAGTGATTTTGTTGTTGTTGTTTTTTGTTTTTGTTTTTCAAGACAGGGTTTCTCTGTAGCTTTGAAGGCTGTCCTGGAACTCTCTCAGTAGACCAGGCTGGCCTCAGACTCCCAGATATCTGCCTGCCTCTACCTCCTGAGTGCTGGGATTAGAGGCGTGTGCCACCATCACCCAGCCAGACAGTGATTCTTTCCTGGAGTTTTAACTTCGCTATTGCTGCTTTCTGAAACAGAATCCCAGGTAGCCCAGGCTGGTAGCTAAAGGTGGCCTTGAACTCCTGATCCTCCTGCCTCCACATCCAAGTGCTATGATCACAAATGTATACCAGCAGTCCCTACTGCTACCATTGCTCTTTATAAACAATTGTAATGAAGTCACATTTGTTTGGAGAACATTCATTCAAAGTTCTAGAAGAAGTAGCTATTTGCTACAACTCTGCCATTAAAGGTACTCCCTTCTCTTTAAAATGCAGAGACTTTCTCCTTCACCGACTGTACAACCATACACAAGTCGGATATCATCCCTGGGCTTCTGTTTCTACTCAAAACAAAGGAGCCATGGCAGTCCCTGCTGTGAGGCCAGCACCTCTTTTGAACTGTAGTATAAAAGTAATAATAATAATAAATTTCAATAGACAATTTTAAGATTCCTTCTGACTCTCACATGGTACAAGTTTATGCTTCTGCAGTAATTCCAACTGATAATCAAATACTCCATAATCAAAAGAATTTATATGATGCAAAATAGCACAACTGAACAAAACCTCTCCTGTCAAAAAAAGCCCAAATTTCAGCTCCCCCAACTTTACCTGGTCTGTTGCCTCTTCAGCCAATCTAATAAAGAATGCAGTCACATAATTACTATTTCTTAGTTACATAAATTACTTTTAAATTATATAAATCAATAAAAATATATTAAGTCTATGCCTTAGTTTTCCTACATTCTGATTTACAGTATTTTCATCTACATTCAAGATACTCTACAACTCAAAGTAGGCTGCATAATATTCTCTTCTAAATTCTAATATAAATAAAAGGAAAAGCAGAATATTAATAATTATCATATTCTGCCAAGGTTTTCATAAAAATATGTTGAATACCATTTTTCAAACTAGAAAAACAAGCAAAAGATAAATAAATTCTGCTGACAATGCTGATCAGTTCAAATGGCTATACCTGCCATTACTTAGAGAAAGAAGGTAGAAGCTAACAGGAACATACTCAGGAAAACTGAACCATGGCATTTCAGCCATCTTTCTGAAAATTAATGTGTAGTGAAACAGTCTTGGTACCAGTGAAGTAAGATGGTTTTTCTTTTATTGTGGATAGCAAATGAGGCACTTAACTGCAAAAATAGAAAAATAAGAAAATTTCCTATCTCATATTTAAAAAGGAATGAAAGATCGGGCTGAAGAATGGCTCAGTAGTAGGTGCTTACTGCTCTATCAGAGAACTGGAGTGTGGATCCCAGCACCCACATGGACAGCTCCCAAACACCTGTGACTCCCATTCAAAGGAGCTGGCACCGATTTCTGGCCTCCTGCAGCAGGTGTGCGCACACATGCACACATACACACACACATACACTCCTTTCTCTCACACACATACAAATGCACACACACTCTTTCTCACAAACACACACTCTACACATACAAACACACTCTACCACACACACACACACACACACACACACACACACATACATACATACACACACACTGACACACACACACTTTCTCACACTCACAAATACTCTTTCACAGATATGAACAGACACACACAAATCAAATATTTTTAAAAGAAATGCAACATTATAAAAGGTAGTTACCATTCAGAGTTAAATTTTTCAGTTTTTATCCACCATACATTCAAATGTTACACACACTATATCAGAGAAAATATTTTAAGACAGGATTGTTGCTCTGTTCATTAAACACAGAAAACACATCCTTTCCGAGGGATTCTGGATTTCTAAGGATGAAATGCAAGCCTTTTCAACCTGAGTGCTATATAAACTAGGGAAGTACAGCCACCATGATGTAGAAATGTTCCTGTCAGCAAAGAATACCATGTAGTCCTCAACTTTATTTTAGAAGGAGCAGAGCTTTTGTTTTATATACTTCTAGAAGTATTGCCAGAATTTTAAACCATTGCTTGTACACAATTAGAAAAATCAGATCCGTGCTGTGCTATTTAATGATATCAGAACATTCTAAAAGATACAATGCCAAGCTCCCAAATGTCACCTTTGATTTACAGATGTATCTTCAACATTCAAACTCAATATTGTCATTCCTGAAGACACAGATATATTCTTTTTTAGGTTTATTCCTTCTTTCTTTCTTTCTTTCTTTCTTTTCGTTGTTGATGTTTTTATTGTTTTGAGACAGGGTCTCACATGTAGCCCTGGCTGACCTGGAACTCACTATGTAGACCAGGTTGTCCTTAAACTCATAGAGGCCTGCCTGCCTCTGCCTCCCAAGTGCTGGGATCAAAGGTGTACCTCACCAGGTCCAGCCTGGTTTATTTTTTTCTTCACCACAATTAAATTGTCTTTCAAATGTGGCACTTTTCAGTGAGTAGATAAAAAATCATTTTTAAAAATGCATTCCCAATCTATCAGTAGCAGGATTTTAAATGTTCTTCACTTTGGAACAAAAGTCAAGAGTGAAGTAAGAACTAAGATGCTCAGTGACACAGTACTTAACTAGCATGTACAGAGCCCTAGTTTTGGGCGCCTCCCCACCTCAGACACACACACACACACACACACACTGAAAAATGAATAGTTTTGGCCCTTCTAGTGGAATACATATAGAAATAAAATCAAGAGGGGCTGGAGAGATGGCTCAGAGGTTAAGAGCACTGACTGCTCTTCCAAAGGTCCTGAGTTCAATTCCCAGCAACCACATGGTGGCTAACAGCCATCTATAATGAGATCTGGTGCTCTCTTCTGACATGCAGACTGAACAGTGTATACATAATAAATAAATCTTTTTTAAAAAAAGAAATAAAAGCAAAGCACATAATGATGAATGCATATTGATTTCTTACAGTATATTTCTTCCCAAACTATTGGCACATAAATATCATAGGCTAAAAAAGCAGCATTATTTCAAGTGAATAAATCTCAGGTCTGCTTTCTCCATATCAAAAAGAAATATCCTTGCTGGGTGTTGGTGGCTCACGCCTTTAATCCCAGCACTCAGGAGGCAGAGGCAGGTGGATCTCTGTGAGTGCGTGCCAGGATAGGCTCCAAAACCACAGAGAAACCCTGTCTCAAAAACACAAAACAAACAAACAAACAAAAATCCTAGATAGAATAGCTAAAGTTTGTCATGAGGCAATTTAATCATTCCACTTAAAAATATTATAATCTAGGGGTTAAGTTGACAGTTGAGTGTCAGAACATATGCTTAGCATTCTCAAGGCTCTGGTTTAACTACCAGCACTCGCACACGAGAACACACACTCCTATAAAGCTATTCTCCCTAAATGTTCTTATATAAGAAGGCCTTCCTTAACTCAAAGGGGGGAAAAACATATTTTAAGTCCAAGGAGACTGTCCAGCCAATTTCAGTTGTTCATAATCCTCATATAGTCATGCCTCATATATTATATTCTTTACTATGTAGTTAAGAAGAACCAAATCCTTTAATCCCAGCACTCGGGAGGCAGAGGCAGGCAGATCTCTGTGAGTTCGAGACCAGCCTGGTCTACAAGAGCTAGTTCCAGGACAGCCTCCAAAGCCACAGAGAAACCCTGTCTGGAAAAAACAAAACAAAACAAAAAGAACCAAATCCTTCTATTAAATTGCCACAACTACTTCAAGAAACTGTTTTTTGAAAGGAAATATGTGAAAGAAACATTATTGGTGTAACTGTTAAGAAATAAAGTGCACATGCCTTTTAATATCAATATTCTTAGTACATTAGTACAATCAAAATGAAGACTTAGCTCAATATCTCAAACCTGAAAAATATGGGACAAGAATACAAATTTCATATAAACAATAACACAATGGGGACAGGATTGCTCCCTTGCAAAAGAAAAGAAGCAACTGAAAACATTAAGAAAATCCAAGTGAGTTTCCGTCACTGCTACACAGTGACACCCACATGTAACACCTGAAATGTAGCATCGCTTTCCTGGGGCTGCCCTTGAACGTCTGCACTTAACTCACAATTCTCTGGTGTCTGGCTAATCCCATCCTGTAAAGTGGGAGATTCTCTATGCGCCTCGCTGTGAGATGAGGCATCCAAGCCTTCTGGAGAACAGGCAACATGGCACGTACTATCTCCTGCCACATCGTCTGGAGAACAGGCTACGTGGCACATACTGTCTCCTGCCACATCGTCAGAGTCTGTCCTCTCTTCCGCATCGTCTAGCTGCTGGACCGAAGATAAATACTGCTCGAGCAGGGTGTTATCCTGCTCACTGTTTGAGCTTTCCTTGCTACAGTCACCGTGTTCCTCAGTCATGGCCTCTAAGTTGGGGTGTCTGCCGTGCTTCACTGTGTCTGTGGAATTCCCCAACATGGAGCTTTCACTGCTTTCTATGGAACTTTTTTCAAAATCCAAAGAATCCTTCAAACAGTGAACTTGATCTGTTAGAGAGGAATGAAAACCAGAGTCTGGAAATTCCGGAACAGATTTCTCTTGAGGAGCTTCATCCTCAGCAAGGAACCAATCAGAACTCTGATCAGAAGAGGGGCCCTGATGTTGTGGGAATGGAGGTTTAGGTGACACCAGAGTACTTGACACAGAAGGCATGTCAGTTTGCCAGGAAATTAGACGCTGCTCCACTGTCTGCTGCCAAGCTTGTAGAGATCTTACCTGCAAACCAGAAGGCAGTTTTATTATAAATAATATAAAAATCTTCCCCTTTTGCCTGGCATTGGTGGCGCACAGCGTTAATCCCAGCACTCAGGAGGCAGGGGCATGTGGATCTCTCTGAGTTTGAGGCCAGCCTGATCTACAAAATAAGTTCTAGGACAGCCAGAGCTATTACACAGAGAAACCCTGTCTTAAGAAACAATTGAAAGAAAAAAAAAAATGCAAGCAAGGGGTGGGAGAGATGACTCAGTGGTTAAGAACATTTGCTACTACTCTTCCAGAAGACCAGGGTTCAGTTCCCAGCACCCACACAGCAGATCACAACCATCTGTAACTCCGGGTCCTAGGGTTCTACTACCCACTTCGGGCCCCAAGGGCACTTTACACACATAGGGCACATACATACATTCAAGCAAAGCACCCAGACACATAAATCTTTTTTTTAATTGCAAGCAATATAGAGTAGCCCAGTTGGTAGAGGGCTTGCCGAGCATGCATGAGGCACTGGTTCCCAGCCCCAGAAGTACACCCATCATTTGTGATGATGCACATCAGTAGCCCCACCACTTGTGAGGTGCAGGCAGGAGGATCAGGAGTTCAAGGTCACCCTCAGCTATAGTGAGTGTATGACTAGTCTGGATCACATGAGAACTTATCTCAAAAATAAAATAGAATTTAGTTTCACTGTGACTACCAGGTTCTCACTACATAGCTCTAGGTCATCAAGTACTTTCTGATAGTAATTGAAAGTGTATCTTTTCAGGACTTTTTTTTAAGATTTTATTTATTATGTATACAGTCTTCTGCCCATATGCCAGCAGAGGGCACCCAGATCTCATTCAAGGTGGTAGTGAGCCACCATGTGGTTGTCGGGAATTAAACTCAGGACCTCTGGAAGAAGAGTCAGTGCTCTTAACCTCTGAGCCATCTCTCCAGCCTAGGACTTTTTCTATATAGTCTCATATACTTATAGTTTTAATATGTATTTTTAATTTTTTAAATTATTTTTTTAATTTATGGATGAGGGCACACACATGCTTGTGGAAGTCAGAGGACAACTTGCAAGAATTGGGTTCTTGCATTTCATCATGTGGTCCTAGAGACCAAACTCAGGTTGTCAATATTGATGACATGGACCTTCACCCAGTGAACTAGTTCACTGGCCCTCAGAGAGCTTTTAACACCAAGCCGATGCTAAGCACCATCTCTTACTGTTATTACTATTATTCTGGAGATCTTTCCAGGTCAGTCTACATTACTACTTTATCCTTTTTAATTGGCCCATAGTATTCTATAGAGTGCTGTTATTTTTTATAATATATTTAACCAGTTCCCTACTAATGATAAATAAAACATCTTAAAAATTAATTCTCTTGACAGGGGATGGTGGCACACATATTTAATCCTAGTAGTTGGGAGGCACAGGCAGGCAGATCTATGTCAGTTTGAGGCCAGCCTGATCTACAGAGCTAGTTCCAGGATTGCTAGGGCTGTTACACAGAGAAATCCTGTCTCAAAAAGCAAAAAAAAAAAAAAAAAAAAAAAAAAAAAAATTAATTACCTTAATATATAGGTTGCATATAGTTACAATAACCTTTTTCTTATGATATTTCTAAGAAAAAAAGATATTTCTAAAAAAAAGTTTAAATATTTCTAAGAAATTATCAGGAAATTTTTTATTACAGTATATTACTGTCATATTTTAAAGTTTTTCCATACAAGTAAAACCAAAGGCTTAAAATGATTTTAGGCTGGGCAGCAATCATGCATGCCTTTATCCCAGTACTCAAGAGGCAGAGGCAGGTGGATCTCTGAGTTTGAGGCCAGTCTGATCGACAGAGTGAGTTCCAAGACAGCCAAAGCTACACAAAGAAACAAAAAGATTTTGTCCTCACTAGTAATTTTCTGTGTTCACATAAACTAGAGAAATCAGCAGTAGGGGTTTACCTCATTCCAAAGGAATCGGACAGCCTCTTCTTGTACAAAAGTTTTCACACGTTCTTCATCTCTTTCTTTTCTTAGTCTACAATGATTCAAAAGATCGTGTTGACATAAGGAAGAATGCTTTGATTTAAACTTCCTGTTTCTAACAACTACTAAGCAAATGCATTAGAAAGAGATTAATGACCTAATAACCACTGCTTCCACTGTTAGAGTATCTAAGCTCTAACCTTATTTAAAACTATGCTACAAGACAGAAGCCAGATGAGATGTATCTGAAACTGAAATTCACATATTCATTCTACAAATATTACCAAAAGGGGAATGTTTGTATGAGTCTAAGTATGTGTACATATACTTACGTATTAAATACCTCTTTATCTGCCCTTCAGTCTCCCAGTCAAACACAAGATGGTAGTGGCCTAGAAAAGGCTGGTTATTCAAAGCTTCCAAAAGTTAGCAGTCACACTTATGTACTCAGGATCACAGACTGTTTTCTCCTAAGACATTAACTAAACCCATCAGACATCAATTTCCTGCTTGACCCATTCCTGATTCTCCCTGGTATCACAGACTCTCCCATCTATCACTTGCTCTCATCCCTCAGTCTAACCTCTGAGATTACCGATGCTGTCTTGATTCTTGGGCCTATACCAAAACAGAGCCTTCCTTAGTTGTCCATTACCACCTGGAATATCACCCCTACTTTGTCCTGTTTTTTTTTTATGTTTGTTTTTCATCTTTCCAGTACAGAATAGAGAATCCAGGGCCTTGTACCCGCTAGACAAAGATTCTACCCCTGAGCTACACCTCATCCCTTTTCAGAACTTCCAACACATTTATCCACTTTCTCTAGACTCTCCAAGACATTCATTCTTCTGTGCCATGCGGCACTCCTGATTTTAAGCAGCAGACTCCCTTATACCTTTCTCTGAGCTTTTCATTAGCCAAAACAGACCCATTAGTGCAAGCATTGTAGCTCTCTCAATTAGAAGCCTTTTTCTTCTTTTATACAAAGTCATCAAACTGTTTCTCACTGCTATTTTCAAGTGATTCTTTATCTAACTCCTAGTCCTGACTGTGTTCTTCTGCAACTTGACACAAACCCAGAAACAACTAGGAAGAGAAATTTCAATTGAAAAAAAAAGAAATGCCTCCATAAGATTGGCCTACAGGCAAGTCTATGGGGCATTTTCTTGATTAATGATTAATACAGAAGAGCCCAGCCCACTGCAGGTGATGCAAAGCCTGGGCAGGTGGTCCTGAGTTGTATAAGAAAGTAGACTGATGCAAGATACACTGGTGCAACAGTCACACAAATGTTGAGGAAATAATCAACCATCTCATTAGATTGAAGGCCCACTCCATGAGATAGAGGAGATGAGAGAGGGGAAACCATTATCAGAACATATTATATGAAAAAAAAAAACATTTTCAATAAAAAGAAAGAAAGGAAGACAGAAACAAAGAAAGATGGGAACAGAAGAAAGGAGGGAGGGAGGGACGGAGGGAGGGACGGAGGAAACAACAAGTAAGCTGAGGAAGATGAGCAAACCATGAGGAGCAAGCTAGAAAGCACTGTTCCTCCATGGTTCTACTTCAGTTCCAGCCTCAGGGTTCCTGCTTTGAGTTCCTGCACTTGTTTCCCTTCAGTGATGGAGTGTGACCAGTGTTATAAGCTGTAACAAATCTTTTCCTTCCGAGTTGCTTTTGGTCGTGGTGTTTTAGCAAAGCAACAGAAACCCTAAGACATTCTGCTAAGAAGGCCTGCTATCCTGATAAATTCTCCCACTCCCCACACTATTCACTGGTGTCTCAGCACCGGTCTTTCTCTCTGCCCATTCCTGTCACTTTTGTTTAGAAAGCTCAACATTCAAGTAGGTGTACTACCTAAAAATAACATACACCACGAATCTACTGTCATAATCTCACTCTATTCCCAAGCATTTTAACTACACCACTTTTAAAACGTTTTTCAAGGATTAGTGAAATGCCTTAGAGGGAAAGGGTATCTGCTGAAAAGCCTGAAGACATGAGTTCAATTTCTGGAAGCCACACATTCCCTACCAGCAACTACCTACACTCTTTTCCTCATTAAAATAACATCCCCCAAGAGCTGGTGACACTCATTCTTTAAGTTCTTTATTTATTTATTTTATCCATTATCCAATCCACTTCAAATTGGCTTTCATTCCCACACCTCTAAACCACTCTTAGGAAACTCACTGTGCAGTGAAACTCATCAGAACTGGGATGTGGGATGTTTGTGCTTTGCATGTTCCAAATACAGGACAGGAAGGAAGGCAACCTCCAAGCCCTTGAAATATCTACCTGAGCAAACTATCTTTGTTAACTCGAGGCATTGAGTTACACTAGAGTTTATGCTAACAATGTGATTCCTAGTGAAACTCCATTTTGTTCCCCTGGGACCGTCAGACACTGTACCAGTTTACCTCTAGGGAAGGAGAAATCTAAGAAAAGTCACTCACATGTGATGGGGAATGTACTTCTTTTTATATTTATCTTATTGATTATTGAATAAAATACTGTTTGGCCAATGAGATAGCAAGTTAGACAGGACTAGGAGTCAAAGAGGATTCTGGGAAATGTAGTAGAGAAGTGGTGATCCAGGCAGGAAGTGACATAGCAAGGAGACTCATATTTAAACAAAGTAAATAGGAAGTGTTCCCTTCTTTCCCCTTCACCTCTTCCAGCGGCAGGATGTGAGCCACTGGCAAGAGAGGGCGCAAGCAAAAGGCATCCCCTATAAGATAAGTCTTATAAAATATATAGGTTTATGATAATTAAGACTGAGCTAACAGATGAGAATCCTAGTCATTGGCCAAGCAGCATTGTACCTAATACAAGTCTCTCTGTGTATTCATTTGGGCCCTAACTCAGGCGGGCGGCTGGCGTAAAGTGCACACATGGCGGTGGGGCTCGGTGGCTTTTGGCAGAAAGATTTATCATAACACACATGAGCACTGAATGCCTAAATAACTGACCCCAATAAAAACCATGGCCCAAAATGCTCGGGAGAGCTTCCCTGGTTGGTACTACTTTATATGTGTCATCACACATTCCAGCAATGGGAAGTAAGTCCTGGACCTCTATGAGTTAACTGGGAGAAGACCTCTAGAAGCCTGCAACCTGATCTACCCTATGTGATTTTTCCCTGTTTTAATCTATGTACATCTGCTATAATAAGCAGCAGCCATGGACTGAACAATTCCTGAGGTCTGTAAGTCCATTTGGCAAATCATGGAACCTGAGGACAGTCTTGAGGGTCACCAATTACAATAATGGCTAAATCTACCATCACTTTCTCTACCCTTCACTCCTCCACCCTCTCTACTTTTCTCTACCCTCACACTTCTCCTGAAACATTTTGCCCCACTGGAACTGAATATAATATACTCTCTTGGCTGTTCCTTCTCAGGTTCCTGTGCTACTTTCTCCTAAGCCACCTATAATACTAATAAACAACATTAGTTCCAATATTAATGAACTCCTATTGTCATAGGTTGGCAACCTTGGAACTGAGGAATAATTCCTACCTTAGTCCCAGAATTTTAGTCCCTTTGTATAATCCCTGATATTTTTCTCTAGCTCTTATGTCACCTAATTGGTTCTACGTAACTTTCTCTTTCTCCTTATCCAGTTTTTCTACAGTATCTACTTCTTTGTTGAGCATCATAGATGCCTATGTAGTTCACATGCCACTCAACATCTTCTGTGATATAGGTACCAATTGCTATGCTGAGAATGGAGATGCATATGGCAATTTGTACTCTCAAGATGCTTCCAATATATCACTGGAGATGACTACACCAACAGTAGCCCCCTGGTGTCATGACCACAGTAGCAGAGTTCTAAAACATCCCAAGTTGGCATCCCAAGCCAACAGACAGCACAGTTTCCAACCTACCTCCTTACTTCATCTGTCAGGCAAACAATGTGCTCCTGCATTCTGCGCAGCCGGATTTCATAACGTACCCCTTTGGCTTGTGGATTGTAGTTCCTGGTATAAAAGCCCCGCCAACAGGCCTGAAGCTTAGTGGCAGCTGCATTCAGTTTCTGAAGAGTGACTTTATCTTGTCCCAAAGCAACATGTCTCTGAGTTAAAATCTTACAGGGAGATTTCTCTGAAGCGGTAGGAGATATGGTTTCTTCACCATTTGGGTCTATGTGGGATGCACTATGTCCAACTGCCTCCGGGAAAGATGTAAGACCATGGTTATCCTCTTTCAAGATAGCATTGATGAGCACTGACTTGGTACAAGGTAACAGCCCAGAATTCTCATTTACTTCCTTTCTCATCTTACTTTTCAACATTTGAACAGAACTCTCATTCGTATCCCATAAAGGCTTTTCCTTGTCCTTATCCAAGTCCTGGCTTTCCATCCTTTTCATGGATTCATCTGCAACATCATCATCATCTTCTAGGCCCAAGTTGATGCCCTGCAGCCTCAGCTCAACAGTGGGTGATACTGGAGACAGTCCTGATGCAACTGGCATAAAAGTGGACTCTGAAGAGAGCAGACTGCAGTTTAGCTTGTCCTCATCTGTCTGTATGTCTTCCAGGTGAAGGTCATTCCGAGAATATCTTGTAGGGTGTGCAGAGGCTGGGAAGTTACTCTTAACAGCATATAACTGACCATCATTACTGCTTATCCCAACCCAAGAATTGATTTGGAGAACAGGTTCTAGAAGAACCAAGAGAGCATCATTTAAATCACCGAGTATTTGAAGAGCTTTTTATTTTCTTGGGGGGGCGGGGGCATGGTTTTAGAGACTTGTTTTTTCTGTATATCTTTGGAGCCTGTCCTGGAACTCACTCTGTAGACCTGGCTGGCCTTGAACTAACAAAGATCTGCCTGCCTCAGTCTCCCAAATGCTGGCAGTAAAGGCGTGTGTCACCACTACCCTTCTTAATTGTATACATAAAACATTTTTTTGAACTCTCATGTGCCATGGTGTGTGTGTGTGTGTGTGTGTGTGTGTGTGTGTGTGTGTGCAAAATGCCACAGTTTGCATGCAGAGGTCAAAGAACAACTTGTAGCAGTCAGTTTTCTCCTTCCACCATGTGGGTTTGAGGGGTTGAACTCAAGTTGGACATCAAGCAAGTTTATCCACTGAACCATCTCCCTAATTCCTTAGTTGTTTACTTTTAACAAAATTTAATCCCTAAAATATGGTAAAGTACAATAAAATGATTGCCTCCAGCAGGACTAAAATGTCAAGCCAAACATTTTTAAGAAAACACATTTCTTAATGCTCAGTGATCAAGAGTACTGGCTGCTCTTATACAGGACCTGAGTTCGATTCCCAGAACCCATATGAAGGCTCACAATGTAATTCCAGTTCCAGGGGATCTGGCTCCTTCTAGCCTCTGCAAGCACAAGAGATGCTTGTAGATACAGGCATACAAACAGACAAAGCACACATACACATAAAAAAATAAAACGGATTTTTTAAGTTTAAAAAAAAAGAATTTCAGATTTTAAAAAAAGGAAAGTGATTTATTAAAATAGGAGTGGTGGCTCATGCCTAAAATCCTAGCACTTGAGAGGCTAAAGCACAAGAATTCCCATGAAGTCAAGGCCAACATTACTAAGTCTATACAAAGATAACTGTCCACAAGTGCTTGCTTTGTTTTTTTCTTTTACTGTGCATATGTCTATGTCCATGGATCCCAGAAGAGAGCATTGGATCCCTTATAACTAAAGTCAAACTTGGGTAAGTTGCCTCATGTGGTTGCTAGGAACTGAATTCTGGTCCTCTTGAAGACCAGTAGACAACCTTAACTACTGAGCTATATCTCTAGGCCCACAAGAATCTTTTTTGAAAATTAGAAATACGGGGCTGGAAGAGTGGAGAAATGGCTCGGTAGTTGAGAGCACTTGCTGCTCTAGCAGAGGGACTAGGCTTCAGTTCCCAACAGCCATATGATAGTTGACAACTGTCTGTGACTGCAGTTCCAGGGGATCCAATGTCCTCTTCTGACTCCACAGACTCCCGTATGCGTATAGTACACATTCAAACACTCTCACACATGTTAGGAGACCCTGGAGATCAGAGGTTACAGTCTACCATAGCCTGGCAGCTTTCTCTAAGCTTGGCAACATGGAGGACCCCACCCCCCACCCCCAAGGAGACTTCCTACTCTCTACCTGCCTTTATTTGGAGGATGTTTCTAGGCCCAGATGCCTGAATTTTCTCAAACATGACACTTGACATAGTTCCCTGCAAACACTTGTCCCCTGTGGATCACATGGTAATTAAGTAACATGCTCTAGCTATTTTCATAGGGCCATGCTGCCACAGACCCAGCCTTGTAATAGGAGCATGCCACTTAATGCAAACTAGGATCTGTCCCCAGGTTTCCCAATCCTACATATTCCCTATACTCTGGATTAAAGGTGAGCTGATTCACTAAAGTCATCTCCTAGAGGGCTGTCTCCGTCATACCCACAGCCATCCGAACCCTGTTCCCTGCTTCTGTTCCCTCCAACCTCAAGGACCAAAGCAACCAACAATCCTGAGGAAGAAGCAGAACAACATACACACACACACACACACACACACACACACACACACACACACACACGCACGCACGCACGCACGCACAAAGTAAATATTAAAAAAAAGAAAAAGAGGAAGTGAGTCAGGAGGATTTGAAGCAAGTTCAAGTCAAGCCCAGCCTGGGAGCTACATAGTGAGTTTCTGACCAGTCAGAGCTACATAGAGAGACCCTGTCTGAAACAAACTGTTTTATGACCCAGTAGGTCAAATGAGTTGAAAAAAAGTAGTGGAGCAAGTGGTTCTTAGGCACTGGGTATAAATGACTTCCTTACCGCTTTCCTGGAAATCTTGAACAGGGCTTGAGCGCTCAGGTGTAAGGGGTACCCTTGTTTCAACAGAAGCAAGAGGAGACAACTCTTCATTTTGGCTTTGGTTCATTAGCTGCCTCTGGTGAAACCTAGAAACCAATAATACCTGCTGTCATCTCCACAAACTAAGAAGGAATGCTCTCCTGCCTCCTCGGTTAATATGCTAAGACAGAAACTTAACAAGTCTGAGGGGTGTCTTTAGCCACTGGCAAACTATAGTCTCCATTGAAAGCATTGTGTAAAAATAGTTAAGATTTTTTTTTTAATTATTAGATAAAGATAGGGACGGCAGCACATGCCTATAAAGCCAGCATTGTGGAGGTAGAGGCAACAGAACCAGCAGTTCAAAGTTACCCTCTCCACACAATAAGTTGAAAGCCAATCTAGTTTACATGAGACCCTGTCTCAATCTATATAGTTAATTGTCCACATGACCTCATACAAACACAATTTCATATGCAAAAACACTGAAAGACAGGATCTCTGATAAGAGAGGATATTACTAAACACTCTAGCCATGCTAGAGTGTTAATATTAGCACATGCTATATGAGGCACCTATATTAAAAGGCCAAAAACTTTTCAAACCTAGGGCCTAACACATGCAAGGCAAATCTAGGACTGGGTTATAACTTTGGCATTGACAAATCTCCCGTTCTTCTGTTATATAGTTTGGCTCACCCTTCAAGAACTGATTAGCAAAGCAACTGCCATGGAAGAAGCCACACACACGGTGTAGCGCAGCTTCTCTGCAGTGACGAAAGGCCTGAGTGTCCATGTGTGCCCTCCAGCCACAGGGAAGTCTGAGGTACCTTCACCTCTAAATCCCTCAGCTGCCACATATAAATGGGCTTACCTCTGTTTACTCAGAATCTTCTCTAGTTTGGCATCCTCTGCAGTTTGAAGACCCAGGGCAGAAGTAAGAGGACAGACTGTAGCCAGGTACTGCACAAGCTGGATGTGCTGGCCAGGCCGGTACGCTCGTCCCTTGCCTTGACTATAGAGCCATTCAGCTTTCAAACTAGAAAATACGTAAGAGGTGATGGCACAGGTGCAGTCAAAACACATTGTTGAGTAACAGTGATCTTGCCTTATAATACCACTACATGATTTCATTTAAAAAAAATTACTTATGGACTGGAGGGATGGCTCAGGGGTTAAGAACACTGGATGTTCTTCCAGAGGACCCAGGTTCAATTCCCAGAACCCACATGGCAGTTCACAGCTGTCTGTAGCTCCAGTTCCAGGGGATCAGACATCCTCACACAGACATATATGCAGGAAAAACACCAATGCAAATAAATAAACAAATCTTTAAAAAATTATTCGTCTGATTTGCTTGTTTTTAGTTAATTTTGATGGATAGTGGTGGTGGTGATGGTTGTGGTGGTGGTGGTTGTGTGTGTGTGTGTGTGTGTGTGTGTGTGGTCTAAGTTCCTGAGTGTGCACATGTGTGTGAAAACTCATGAGCATGTGTAGTTGAGGCCAGAGAGGAGGTTGAGTATCTTCTTCTATTGCTTTCCACTTTAATTTTTGAGAAAGGGGCTCTCTCGGAGCTCACCTTTTGGCTAGGCTGGCTAGCTAACAAGCTCCAGCAACCTGTCCATCTTTACCTCATTGGCAGTAGAATTACAAACATGTGCTACAATCCCTAGTTTTCTATCTATATTCCTAACTCACTTCCCTTGGTCTTATATTTTAATTTGTATCATAATTAGAGGAACTGTTCATACTAATGAGTCCAATTTTTATTTTATTTATTTATTTATTTATTTTGGTTTTTTGAGACTGGGTTTCTTTGTGTAGCTTTGGAACCTATCCTGGCACTCGCTCTGGAGACCAGACTGGCCTCGAACTCACAGAGATCCTCCTACCTCTGCCTCTGCCTCCTGAGTGTTGGGATTAAAGGCATGCGCCACCAACACCCGGCTGAGTCCAAATATTTTTAAATTATTTCCAAAGAAGCAATGAGCATTCTCTCCATTTACTTTGTCAAACAGAAGCAATCTATAAGCTCTTTTTTTTTTTTTTTTTTGGTTTTTCCAGACAGGGTTTCTCTGTATTGCTTTGGAGGTTGTCCTGGAACTCACTCTGTAGGCAATCTATAAGCTCTTACTGGCAGTTTTTAAAAATACCTAACTGGATGTTTTTTTAAACTGGTAAATATGGGAATTAAATTTTGTTGTTGTTTTGTTTTTAAGAGTTTATTTATTATGTATACAATGTTCTGCCTGCATGTATGCCTGCAGACTGGAAGAGGGCACCAGATCTTATTATAGATAGTTGTGAGCTACCATGTGGTTACTGGGAATTGAACTCAGGATCTCTGGAAGAGCAGTCTTAACCTCTGAGCCATTCTCCAGCCTGGGAATTAAATATTGTTAATTCTTTATTTCCTATACAAAATTTGTCAATACTTAGTTCACATAAGTAGTATAACTAATAAAAAATGACAGACTTTCACCATTTTGTAATCTTTAATGAATTAATGGTTTCAGGCATGGATCATTCATAGCTACCAATAACGAAATAGACATCCAGACATTGAGTATGATCCAATAGTATCTACATAGTAGTCCTCTCTTTAATACCTCAAAACTAGCTGGGCACAGTGGTGCACGTCTTTAATCCCAGTGCTTGGGAGACAGAGGCAGGCAGATCTCTGTGACCAGGACAGCCTAATCTATAGTGAGTTCCAGGACAGCCTGAGCTATGTAAAAAGATCACGTCTCAAACATAAATAAATAAAACCTCAAAACTGAATCTGATCATACTGCCATGCCAAATCACCAATTTTTAGGTGATACAGGAGAGAGGAAGATGCCAAACACACAGGAAATTATCAGGTCAGCATAGTCAATCTATGGAGTATGTAACTATAATAAACTGATGGTTTTATTTTTGTTGTTGCTTCTAGAGACAAGGTCTCAAGTAGCTGGGCCTGACCTTGAACTTGCTATTGCTAAAGCTAGTCTTACTGCCTCCATCTCCCAAGTGTTGTGATTACCAACTTGATATTTTAAGATACTAAAAAATTAGAGCAGGCTGAGGGTGTGGTTTGGATGGTAGAGTATTTGCCTAGCATGCGTGAATACTTGGATTCAATCCCAGAACCATATAAAGCCAGCATGGAAGCAGGCCTGGAAGCCCAGTTCTGAGGGAGGTGAAGACAGAGGGATCAGATTATCCCCTGGCTACACAGAGACCCCAAGAACAGCCTGGCTACATAAGACACCACTGTCTCAAAACAGACAGAAATTTACAATCATAACATAAGATATGCTTCCTGGAAACAATATTTTCTTTTTTTTCTTTTTAGTTTTTTGAGACTTGGGTTCTCTGTGAAGCCCTGGCTATCCTAGAACTAGCTGTGTAAACCAGGCTGGCCTTGAACTCACAGAGATCTGCCTGCCTCTGCCTCCCAAGTGCTTCGATGAAAGGCGTGTACCACCACCACCCGGCTCATATTTTCATTTTAAAATGCATTTATAGGGTCAGCAAGATGACTAAGCAGGTAAAAGCACTTTTTACTCAGAATTTTTTTTTTTTTTTTGGTTTTTCGAGATGGGGTTTCTCTGTGTAGCTTTGGAGCCTATCCTAGCACTCGCTCTGGAGACCAGGCTGCCCTCGAACTCACAGTTTACTCAGACTTAATGACCTAAGTTCAACCCCTGAAACCTACATTAAAAGCCAGATTCAGTGGTATACACCTGTTATCCCAGTATTCTACAGCAAGAGATAGAAACAGAAGTGCCAGAAGGTAGTGGGACACCAAGCCTGGAGTATGCAGCAGGAACAAAAACAGAAACCAAAGAGGTGGGGGAAAGAGAACCATCTCCCAAATGGATTTTTGGAAGTGAAGGCTAAAAGTGTGCTGAGTCCATGAATGCCTATTTTCTGAGGGCAGAAAAGGAAAGGAGGCATGTTAAAAAGAATAATCCATCATCCCTTCTATCTCCACAGCTCCAGTTTCCTGAAGGCTCCTATGATCATGCAACCATCTCTAAAAGATGCTCCAAGATGCAGAGACCATCAGTGATCTAAGGATGGTCACAGGCATCAGAAGGTGAGAAACAGTACAGTATGTCTGCTTCAAGTTCCAAATTAAAACACCATGTGCGTTTTCCTAGAGGCATCATAAAAGGCCACTGGGTTCTAATGTGTTATTAATAAGTACTCCTTTCACACATATGACAGATAGCTAACAAGCTTTTGTGGGATTAAGCCAAGATCTTATATCACATACATAATGTGGTTTCTAGGAATGAATGTTACCATTTCCAAGCAATCAACAAAAGAACTTTCAGGACATAGATTGTTGTAAGTTTGGCATTTAGACTTACTAGTTCCAACCTCTAGAGCTGATATTCACTTTTTTCATTAATTTTTTTTTTATTTTATGTGTGTGAGCATTTTTGCCTGCATGTATATCTATGTACCACACGCATTTGGAGAACATAAGGATATAGGATCACCAAGAACTAGAATTACAGCTAGTTGTAAGCCACCGTGTGGTGTAGGGAATAGAGCCCAGGAAGCCCAGCCAGTGATCATATCAGCTGAGCCATCTCTCCCTCCCCTACCTCACCCTCTTTTTTCATATATAGTTGCCCTGTAGTTAAGTATGATTTGAATTTCTGATCCTTCTACTTCTATCTCTCCAGTGCTGGAATCACGGGCATGCACCACCATGGCCAGTTTTATGAGAAAACCAAGGCTTTGAAATAGTCTCCCAGTGAAATGGAAGCTTGCTCCTTGCTGACTAGTCAGCAATCCATCCATCTCTGCCACGGCTCCCCCATGCTGGGGTTACAGGTAAGAGAAGCTATACTTGGCTTTTTATGTGAGTTCTGGGATTCAAACTCAGGTCCTCATTCTTGCAGAGTGAGGGCTTCAAATATGGTAGGCAAGCACTCTACCAACTGAGCTGTATTCCCTGGTCCTAAGATTAGGTCTTATATAGCCCAGGGTGTTGTAGAACCAACAATGTGTCCCAGGATGACAATGACCACCTAATTCTTCTACCTGTGCTTCTCAAGTGTTGGCATTACTTGCATGTGCCACCACACCGGGCTCCCAGCCCTGATGTTTACCTTCTGTCTTTTCTAAGAAAGGAGGGATAATCCCAAATCACCAGCAAATGGTCTGAGCTGTGATTACACCAGCAGTTTAAACTTGTAAACACACACTTTAAAAAATTCAACAATTAATCTGTAACAAACTAGAAATGATCTTTCCTAAAAGATTCCTTGATTGATACCACAGTTAGGCAGACCATGTTCACCTTTCCTTCTGAGAAATCACATATCCATCTAGGACTCTGAGATTTAAGCACCAGCTGACGATGTATGGCCGATAGTCAAACCCTGGAATGGACGGTGTTGCCATCACACAAGGATTGTTCATGACTGATAACTGCTCCAATTCACTTAAAGAGGCCAAAAACGAGATCTAAAACAAAAGACATCTTTGTTGAACAAAATGAATGCTCAGTGTCAAGCACAGGGTTTCCGCTGATTACATAATTTTGGCAGCATTTGAGATTGTCACAATTTCCCTCTTGTTCTAAAAAGCATCAAGCTATTTTCTAATATTAGCCACCAACTTCTAAAACTCTAAAAACCTGGCCATTTGTCCTTCCTGCACAATAGGAAGTATCAGCATTATTTTCTAGTTAAGAAAACCATATTTACTTTCTTTGAGGTAGGATCTCATTAAAACCCAGGCTGATCTTTAGCTCTAATCCTCCTGTCTCCACTTACTAAGTGCTGATGTTACAGACATAAAGGACTTTACCTAGTTTGAAGAAAACAATATTTGAAAACATAATAGAAGCCAGGGAAAAGCTGCCTTACTGGCGGCTAGTATAAAGTAGATATTTCTCTCCTACCAATCACGAGTGATGAGAATTGTAGCATTACAACTGAAATTCAGCCTGATGACCTCCAGTGTTAAGAAAAAGGAGAAAAAAAAGTACTCTAGTGACAGGTGTTTCACCAGGGCAGCAATTCTCCCAAGATGGTCACAGTCTAAAAATGAGGTCAAGATGCCTGGCGGTGGTGACACACACCTTTAATCCCTCAGGAGGCTGAGGCAGGTAAATCTCTATAAGTTTGAGGCCAACCTGGTCTACAGAGCTAGTTCCAAGATATCTAGGGCTGTTATACAGAGAAACCCTGTCTTTACACCCCCACACACCCCACCCCACACCACCACAAAATGAGCTCAAGAACCTCTCCTGTCTCTCCTGGACTTTCCCTTCCTAGATCCCACAGAGTCTGGACTTTTTCCTTTCTGGATCCCAGAAGGAAAGATCTAAGAGTCAAATTTTACCTCATTTAAGTCTCGAATTTCATTTTCTGCCAGAGACAATATAGAAAGACTTCTAGGTAGATACGAAGGTGCCATTCTAAGAGAGGTGATGATGTTTCCATGTAAAAGCAAGGTCTTGAAAGAAAAAAATACAAATCAACAAATTAAATAAATTGACTTGACAATGCCAAAATGGTGCATGCAAGAATAAAAAGACCGGGCTGGAGAGATGGCTCAGCTGTTGAAGGTTAGGCTCACAACAACAAATTTGACCTATTTTGTTATACTTCTCATCACACATAATTCAAATATTAATACTGAGAAGGCTCCTAAGAGGGCTTTAGCCCAACAAGGATTTAAGACTTATCCAAGAACACATAGTTGATGTAGTATCTAGCAATGCTAGCTATGATGTACTAGCAAGCTATACAATTTAATACACAAAGCAATTTCCAACATAGTTTTTCATTTCCTTTTAAAATATCAAAATAAAGATGGGCGTGGTGGCACATGCCTTTCCCAGGTCTGGGGAGGCAGAGGCAGGCTGATCTCTGAATTTGAGGTCAGCTGGGTCTACAGAGAGAATTCCAAGACAGCCAGGGCTGCACAGAGAAATCCTGTCTCCAAAAACCAAACAACAAAACAAACAAACAAACAAACAACAAAAATCCACGTCAAAATAAAGGCTGGAGAGATAGCTTAGTGGATAAGAGTGTTTGCTGTACAACCATGAGGACCTGTTATCAAATCCCAAGCACCCAAGAAAAAATCTGGCCATGCTGGCTAATATCTGAGACACCAGAACTTGGGGCAGAAATCAGTGGATTGCTGGTCTGCCAGCCAACAGCTAAGAGTGAGCTTCCAGATGAACGGCAGACTGTTTCAAAGTAATAAGGTAGAGCGGGATAGAAGACGATAGCCAGCATCATGCTCTAGCCTCACCATGTGCACACACAGGTGTGTTCAACTGCACTTATATCCATGCACCTACTGTACACACTCTCACATACATGCGCATAAAATGAAACAATCATATAGAAAGCAAATTTGGCAAAAGAGACAGATAAGCCATAATTCATACTTTACAGCTACAGTTTTTACTTAGTTGAAGACAAAGAAAGGTGGAAATTATTGTTTGCAGACATAGCTGGCCCATATTAATTCAGCAATAAAAAAGAGTAAGTCCAAGGGGTGGAGGGATGTTTCAGTGGCTTGGTCTCCCTACCAGTGGCTCACAACCCCGTGACTCCAACTCCAGGTTATCCAATGCCTTCTTCTGTCTTCCTGTGCACATGCACTATATACCAGACACCCCCACATACACACACATAAATAAAACAAATAAACCTTTGAAACAGTGTAAGTCTAAGATACTCTAAACATTCAGGATTCTGTTTAGCTATTCATATATCCATTCAAGAAAAAAAAAGTTATAACAAAAAGAAAAAAATGCACAAAATATTCAATCATCTTTTAGTTCGAGTTTTTTTTTAGCATTTATTGGGACAGTTGTAAATATCAAGTTGTTTAGGATTATTGTTGCTATAAAATTATTTCTGCTCAAAATGTAGGGAAAATAGAACTTCAGATTCCACTTCTAAAGCTTGAAGAGTCTATCTGGTGCTAATAATATTTAATTAAGTAAAAATACAGGAAAAAACTACATATGTATGGAGTAGTTTTACCTACTGTATGTCTGTGCACCATGTGTGTGCCTGGTGTCTATGGAGATCAGAAGGGAAATTGAGATTCCCAGGAACTAGGATTACAAATAGCTGTGGTTCCAGGGGACCTGGGAATCAAAGCGAGATTCTCTGGAACAGCAGTTCTTAACCATTGAACTATCTCTCCACCCTCTATGTTTATTAATTGAAATTAGCTTTGTTAGTTAAATTATACCCAGTATTGAAAACAGCATCCTTAGCCGGGCGTTGGTGGCGCACGCCTTTAATCCCAGCACTCAGGAGGCAGAGGCAGGTGGATCTCTGTGA